ATTGGGTAACTAATACTGTATTAGAACTTCACATATATTCTCATTTAATTTTCATGGTAACCCTTGAAGTTAGGTATTACTATACTCATTTAGATAAAGCTCAATAAGATTAGGTAACTTCCTGGAGTCACAAAACCACTAAGTGGTAGAGCTAAGATTCAAAGCCAGTCTGTCCAAAGCTCTTATTCTTTCTACTTCACCATACTCTCTACCCCGTTCTGAGGTAAAGCTCTAGGCAAATCGTTAACTTGTATATTCACTCATTCATCCAAATAAACGTTTATTTATTCATTTTATCCTTTTATTTAGCAAAATAATCGAGTGCCTAGTATGTGTCAGGCAATGTGCCACTATGGACCTAGAAAGACAAATAAAACAGGGTCCCAAGTGCCTTCTCCTACTTTGGAGACTCTTGCAGTAAGGTGCAGGAAGCCCTCGGTAGGTTGGTACCAGGAGGAAAGAATGCAAAAGGGAAGCAGAGCAGAGTCATATCTGAGTATTTCTGGAGAAAAGTGGCCCTAGCACAAAGGACAACCTCGGGGGTCATCTCTGCATCACCTCAGTCTGCAGCAGAGGCCTCAGAGCTGGCCAAAGCCAAAGGGCCAGGCCCACAGGCAGGTGTTAACTGTTCAGGAATGCTGATGGCATGCAAGCAGGGCCCTCCCGTGTGGACGTGCTGCTTGGTACCTGACTCTGGCCACACTCCAAGCACAACTAGGAAGTTTTATTCTTTTTCCCATGAGATCTTTTCCCCGATGAATTCATCCGCAGAAAATAAAAAGAAGTACAAATGAGTATCTTTGTATATGGTTTCCAGGCCCCTCCAGCAGAGCAGCCCCTGGGCAGTGAACAGAAGGAAGGCACAAGGGAGGCCCTTTCTTCTGTCAACCTAGGAGCCCTTGGATTAAAACCTCCTTTCTGTGCCGTAGGGGTCACTGGTGCATAAAGCAAAACATAGCCCAATACCAAAACCATGCCCTTCTTAAATATCCCCTGATTGTAATTAATAACTTCCTATGTTTTTAAGCAATCTTAGCGTTTGCCAACCCTTTCTGCATCTTTTATCTCATTTAGTGATCACAGCAACCCCATCAAACAAGCTGTGTTCTACCCATTTTACAAAGGAGGAAGTAGACACTAAGGGGGACATTGCCCAAGCCTACATGGTAGTGACAGCACAAAGCTGGGACTTGAACTCTGGTATTCTGATGCCAAGTCCAACGTGCTCACCATTAGACCACAGCCACTAGACTGCACCATCAGCCACTGGAAGCCTACCCTCGGCTCCCTCCTGACATTTATGGCTGTTTGGGGGATGTAGCAACTGTTCTAGGTCCTCTGACACCAACCTAGTATAACATACAGGTGACAAAGGAGAGGCTGTGAAATGCTGACTTTCTTGTTGACTTGCACATTGCCCCTCTTACTTCCAAGAATTCTGGTCTGGGGCAGAGTGGGTGCGCTGAGCTGCAGGTTTGTGATCCATCTACACAGGTTTTCTGGAAAAGCATGTGGGTGCAGTGCAAATACGTGTGCAGTGTTGAGGGACTAAGGAGATAAGAAGCTGGAAAAGTGAGTGAGGAAAGGCCTTGGGGAGGGGGCGGGGAAACCTGTGGCCTTGAGACCACATGTGGTCTTCTGGACCCTTGAGTGCAGCCTTTGCACTGATTTTACAGAACGAATCCATTTAATAAAGGGATCTAATAAAGGGATTTGCTCTGCGAAGTTTGGATTCGGTTGAGGGGCAGCACTTGCGGATCTGGAGGGCCACATGTGGCCCTGAGGATGCAGGTTCCCCACCCCTATGTCTCCTGAGCAGGGAAAATGTATCTGTTCTCTCTGCTCCAGATTTCCATTTCTACTGAAAACATTAGCTATGTGGCAGGACTTTATAAACTAGAGTGTTTAGCAAATGATCTGGAGCCAGGCAGACCTGGGCTTGGATCTCTGCTTCTGCACTTTCTAGCAACGTGGCCTTGGGCAAATTAATCCCTCCAAGCCTCCTTTTCTTCATCTGCAAAAATGGCAAGAAAACAGATTCTCCCCTTAGATCCTTCAGAAGGAGCATAGCCCTACTGACCCTGTGATTGCAGCCCGGAGAGACTCATTTCAGACTTCTGCTCTCTAGAACTGTAAGACAATGCATTTCTGTTGTTTTAAGTCACTAAGTTTATGGTAATTTGTTTTATCAGAAACAGGAAACAAATACAGATTTTGGTAAAAATACTCATCTCTCAGGTCTGTTGGGAAGATGCATATAAAGTGACTAACAGCACTGAGAGCATTCTAGGTGCCCGTTAAATGGCAGCTTTCATCACTATTTTGTTATTTCAGAAGACAGCAGTGGTTTTCTAAGTTAATATGTGCCACTGATGCCAAAGGCCTAAGGGAGAAGAAGATAACGCAATAAAAAAGGAAAAAAAATTTAAGGGCCAGCAAATTCAGAATGTCTTGCCCATCAATATATCCCTGCCTTCCCAAACCCACAGCCGGGCCACCTCCCTGGCATTTCCTACCATGTTCCTGCCTAGGTTTCTTCCATTTATGCTTTTCTTTTTGCTCAAAGCAGGCTTCTATCTGCCTACCTTCCTTTCTTTCTCCTACTCTCATCTGCATTTTCCACCCTAGTTCTGACTCCTGCCATTCTCCCACAGAGAATTCATTTGCCCGTTCCCCTTGTCTGAACTCCATGGGGCAGAGTCCTGTTGGAAAGGTCTGTGTCGGGCATAATTGAGTCACATAATTGGGTCACTCAGGCCATCTTCCTCATTCAGGATCCCTTGAGCCCCTTGCTGGACCAAGAAAGGCCCCGTTGCTGGTGGCCTATACCTAACCCTTTCCTTCATTTCCATGGCCCTCCTTGTCCCCTTTATTCTACTGGGTATGGTCATTTTTGCCTCAAGTCCATGTTGCTGTGGTCACACTTTAAACTCCTTGAAGGAAGAAATTACCTTCTTCCTGTTCTCTAAGCCCAACCATTCATCACTAATAGGCTGCTCCCTGACACACGGGTGTGTAATCAGTACCGGTGGAAAAGGGTGCTGAATTTGGCCTCTCCAGATATTTGCCCTTTACTCCCTACACTTCTGTTATTTGAACTTCTACCTTTCACAGTCTATTTATTTGTGTCTCTAGTTTGGATAGTAACCCAACTGGTCAGGGATAACGTCTGTACATACCAGCAATGAACTTCACAATGTGACTCAACCAGCTCCCTGAGTAAGGCTGTCCCTCGGGGGAGTCTGTGCATTAACCCCTTCAAGGCACTAAGGCTCTGCTCAGTCTAACGTGCAGCGGTTGCTGGAGAGAATGGATGACATTTCTAGGCAGAAAGAAATGAATGGTATTTCTCAGCAGAAACTACTACACACCAGGATCTTGTAACAATGGCCCAGATTCTTCTTCCATTACCTCAGCAAACATTGACGAAGCGTCCACTGTGTGTCAAATTCTGAACCCAAAAATGCTCATACATTTTATATTCATTCAAACTGCCATAACTACTCAGGTAAACAGGTAAGAGAAAATATTTAGAGATGTATGAGATTACTTGGAAGGTTGTTAATACTTATTGTGTAACAACGAAGTTAAAATTTAGCAAGGCCTGAGTCAGAAGGCTCCCCTCGCACCGATTCCCTGCACGAGAACAGGGACTTCAGCCAAACTGGCTGGTTTGCTATCTCGTGGCACCTTGCTCTTCTGTCTCCACTCCCTAACTCTCCCCTCTCTCTACCAGGAATGTTGCCTGCCCCCACCTTACTCCACACGTTCCCACCTCCGCTCTATTTCTCAAAACCATACACATCTGCTTACATCTTCCCTCCTCAGAACGCCCACAGTATTTAGGGTCTTGCCATACATATTCTAACTATTTGGGAATGTATCTTAGCTTCCTTACTATGGCATAAAATCCTAGACCACAACAATCTCCCTTACGTATCTTTGTATGCGCTCTAAACAAAAATTGCATCATTTAATACATTTTGGTTTTGAGCATGAATTGGTTAATTAATTTAATTAATTAATTAAATGTTGAGAGATGTGGATGTTTTTCCTCAAAGTGTTTCAAGTGCAGAAGCCCAAGTGATTGACCCAAACACTTGCTCTTGTGTTCTTTCCAGAAACTGCTCAGGGAGATGAGAGGGATTCAGCTGTGTGTGGCGCCAAGCCTGTAAACAGTTTCTGGGAGTCGGTGTGGGCTGCAGGGAAGTGCTTGGGCTCTGGAGTTGCGCAGACCAAGGTCTCCAGCCTAGCTCTGCCACTTACAGGTTGTGAGACCCCAGGGAACTTAATTACCAATTTAGCTTTAGTTTCCTGATCTGCAAAATGGAGCTTCCTCACCTCTTTTCTTTTTCTACTTAATTGGGTTATGAGAATCAGGTGTGTGCATGCACAGCCCCTGGTAGAGTGGTGCATAGAAGTAGGTAACTGCTAGTCCCTCTTTTCTCTCCACTTCCCCTCTTATGTGACAGGGGACTTTTTTTATTTGCCAGCTATTTTTTTTAGGATAACAAAATATTTAGAAAATAATGGTTTTTAACAGCAGCCCACAGTGCATATGGGAACCAACCACTAACACTGGCCATGTGTTTACCCCTTGGGTTTCAGTTTGCCCTGGTCAAGGGCAGTGAGGGCTGCACCAGGGACCGTCACATCAGTGTGCCACGCCCTGCCACCATCACCACTTCGGGTCTGCTCCTTCCACTCTCCTTGCCCTTGCGGGGCTCCGTCCACCACTCAGAAGTATGCATTCTGTACACTCTATCCCTGCAAGAACTCCTCAGAGGCACTAGTCAGACTCTGAAAGGCTTTGTTCTTTCTTCTTTATAAAATTTCCATGATTACCAAGCTCAATAATCAAATTTTCTCCATTGCTAAATGATTGTATGACTTTGGTTTGGATGCTTTGGGACACAGGAAGGCAACATACACAATGGCATGATTTAGTCATGGTATGGAAACTGTAGCAGCATTTGTCACCTGCTCCCATTACATTACAGTGTTCTCAACTGTGACTGCAGCTTGTGGAAAATCCTGAAGATGGCCAAAGATGACTCCACTGTTCGTTGCTTCCAGGGCCTGCTGATTTTTGGAAATGTGATTATTGGTGTAAGTAGTGAGTATTTCTCAGGAAATTCTGCTCTTCCTATAATTGTGATTCTAGATTAATCAAAAGTGAGTGTTTGAAAGACAATAATGCTATAATTATTGGCTTCCTATACCTTTCTTCATTTTAAGAAATGTGTTAATAAATATGCTAGATAGAATTTAACTATATAAGTAATTATATTTAATTATGTAATATGTCAAAAGATCACAGTTAAAAAAATAGACATTGCCCTCCCAACTTTAAAACGTAGTAATCTAGCCTGGCATGGTGGCTTACACCTGTAATCCTAACACTCTGGGAGGCCGAGGTGGGAGGCTCGCTTGAGCTCAGGAGTTTGAGACCAGCCTGTGCAAGAGCAAGACCCCATCTTTACTAAAAATAGAAAAATTAGCCAGGCGTCGTGGGGTTTTCCTGTGGTCCCAGCTACTTGGGAGGCTGAGGTGGGAGGATCGATTAAGCCCAGGAGTTTGAGGCTGCAGTGAGCTAGGAGGACACCACTGCACTCCAGCCCTGGCTACAGAGCAAGACCCTGTGTCAAAAAACAAAACAAAACACAGGCATCTAAAAAGAGTCACATATGCCATGGTCAGTGTCCAAACACTCCGACCACACACACGCTTTGGTGTTTCCTATTTTATCTTGGCTTGACTTCCATGACACTCTGGTTAAGGTTACTGAAGGCAGATGTTTGCATCTTCTTGTTCTCCTCATACAGAGGCCAGTGAGAATGGCTCAGATGCCAAGCTGTGTGGGCATGGTGGGGTGAGAGAGCACTTGTTTGGGAGTCAGGAGAGCTGGCTCTTGGTCCAGCTGTGCCTCTAACTCACATGTGACTCTGGACAAGTCATCACCTTTCAGGGCCAAGATTCCTCATCTATAAAATACAGACATTGGGAAGGATACCCACCAATGTTCCTTCTGGCTCTAACTGATAAATATGACCAGGATTAGTTCAAATATTACAACCCAGGAATTTGGGTGGTGAGACCGTGGGGGTGAGGGATTATGTTCCTATAAGAAGGCATCATCTGAGTGGTTCATGCCCCAGGGACATTATCGGTGGTCTGAAATTGTCTGGGTCTTTTCCCAATAGACAGGGTGACACGTAGAAGAAGGCATGCAACCAATTAGCAGGATGGAAGTAGCTGTTTCATTTCCTGGCAAGGGGGTGTTTAAGTCAGTTGTGTAAAGCCTATGCAGGAGAGGGAGTCGGTCTCTCTTCCCCACCCCACCCTCCACCCCCTTTCCCAAAGCTGCATTCCTGGCTGCCAGCCTGACAGAGCCCCCCCTTGGCTTGCCCCCAGATGTGCGGCATCGCCCTGACTGCAGAGTGCATCTTCTTTGTATCCGACCAGAACAGCCTCTACCCACTGCTTGAAGCCACCAACAACGATGACATCTACGGGGCAGCCTGGATTGGCATGTTTGTCGGCATCTGCCTCTTCTGTCTGTCTATTCTAGGCATTGTAGGCATCATGAAGTCCAGCAGGAAAATCCTTCTGGTGGTAAGAACTTACTGCTCCCTAGAGCTGTCTCCCTGGACCAATTCTGATGGACGGTCTCTTCCTAACCAAGCACAATGCTTTGGCTTTCAGTGGGGGAGGTGGAAGCAGGGAGTGCCAGGTGAGGGGTGAGAGAGAGAAGAAGACTCTCCCTGCCATGAAGATTTTCCAGCCGGGGGTGAGCATGCCCTCCACTACTGCAAGTCCAGAAGGTTTCAGTGCAGAGAAGCCAGAGGGGAGACACCTGAGAGTGACCCTACTGAATATTTTCCAGATCTGTGCTTCTCTAGCTCGTGTCTGCAGGCGCCCGACAGATACGGCCAGAAGCTACATAGGCCAAAGGAGAGGCAGAGTAAGAATTTGTTTAGTAGATTTTTTTTTCTCCTGGCAATAAGATGTTTAAAACATTTTAATATCAGGCATTAGTATATTAGGATATAAAAATACAAAATATGAATGAGTTTTTATAAGAAAGCAAAAGCCTGTCAAAGATTTTGAGCTCAAGGCTGCTGATGATTTTGTATCGTGGTCTGCATGTCCCACAGTATCAGTCACTCTGCTTTTCAGGAACCCTGGAAAAACCCCCTTTTTCTTTTATAGGCATTAGCAACATTTTTATTTTTTAAATTTATTTTTTTTGATCTGTGATTTTTGTTTTTAATTGTCTTAAGTCTTACGATCACACATAATTTTTAAATGTGTCTTCATTGCCTCTACTTTAATCCTTCTCATGAGTTGGCAAAAGCACCATTACCAATTACACATACACAGTAGTTCCACGGCTCCTGGAAAACCTTGGAAAGCACCACTGTAGTGTAAACCTTCAGCTCTTACCTGCCGATGGAGGCTCTAACTCTGTGTCCCCACGAACAGGCTCCTACCCCCAACCACAGACTGTAAGATCTTGCCTGCCTTTGCAGAGGGAGCAAATCGACAGTCTGCAGAGCTGGGAAACCTCAGTGTTGGGCCTAGACCCTCATTCCCTGCCCCCATGCTCGGGGCTGCAGTTTATCACACTGAGATGGGATACCCTCCCCCAAACTCCCCACCCCTGACATAATCCTACCCAAATGCTGCAGGACCTGAGTTCCACCTTTAATAGAACTAGTCTAGCAACTTAAGGTGCTTATTGGTTTACTTTTCCCTTGAGCTAACTGTTGCCCTGGTACCCAGGGAATGCAGAACATTTACATCCTCTGGTTTCTTAGTGTGAGTTAATTCCAGGGCAAAAGTAACCACTTTTGGAAGGCGGAAAACAAAATGTAGAGAAAAGGGAAAGTACAGCCCACCTTCACTTGCATCCCAGCTCCGTTTGGGGCCAGCTCTGTGCGTGACTGACAGCCAGGAGAACTGAGCTGGGGAGGGAGACAGAAAGAGCAGTGCCCCTCTGAGGGCTCAAGAAGAAAACACCTTACCCCGTGCCTCCTTTCTGGAGTGTCCCTAAGGGGTTTGAGCCTCTGCAAGAGGAGCCAGCAAAGCTCTTGACGAGGAGCAAGACAGCAGCTAATGCAGGAAAAAGTGTTACGGGGCCTCTGATGGTGCTGCTGCTTTTGCTGTTAATTCTCCAGCCACAGCTTTGCTCTGGGCTGGGCAGTGAGAGCAGCAGAGGGTCCTGCTAAGAGCCTCCCAGGCCCAAGGAGGGAAGGCAGTGTTTCCTGGCTTGCCTCACTGGCACTGACCACGAAGGACACAAGGACGGAAAGCGTATACGTGAGGCTGAGGAAGGCAAAGACAGAACTCTTGCAAACAGTCCCCATCCTGGATTCAGAGGCCATTTGCTGTTTAGATATTATCCAGCCAGAAATAGGAGCAGTGCCTGTGGAGGCATCATGCACGCATGTATGCACCCACACACACACACACACACACACACACACACACACAAACACACACACCACTACTACACACAGCAAGCTCCATGTCACTCACCTGAGCGGCTGTAACTGGAGCCGGGCAGGGAGAGGAGGACGCCAGCAGATTGCTGCGCACCCGGAGGCCGCCTGCTCCTCTCTGAGGAGACTGGATGCGTGTCGGGAGGGACACGGGATGTTAAACATGAACCCCTTCATCTTTTTCTGACCTCTGTGATTCCAAATTTCAACAAACCATAACGAAACCTTCTCCCAGTTAGAGGGGATTTATGAGGCTCTACACTGTGTGTGATGCACTAAGACTCTCTTGCCAGCCGCTGAGCACACACACACATCATTTCATTCCCTT